AAATTTTATGGTTCTATGACATAGCAGGGGACAAATCATCCCCTAAATATCTTTGGGAGACTTTATTGCTGTTGAGGTTGGAGCAGGAAACACCTGGGGGGAGGCAGTTCCTGCTGGGAGTTTGGATTTGAGGCACAAAAGCCAATTATTGAGGAATTAAGGCTGAAGCAGCTTTGTGAGCACAGAGCTGCCCCATTTCCAGGGGCACTGCCCATTTCTGTGGGCTCTCAGCCTGGTTTGGAGTGCAAGCCCAGCTTGGCCAGGCTGGAATTCCCAACAGCTCTGGAAACCACCAGAGTTTTTAACCAATTTTTAACCAATCAGGGTTAAAAACCTGGTGTGAGCGGGATCAGAAATGCATCCCTGAGGATCAGAAATGCATCCCTGAGTGTTTCTGGTGGGGTTGGGAGGATCTGTGCAGAACATGGAGAGAGTTCCTTTCTCCTGGGCAGGCTTGGGACAGCAAAACCCCCTGGATTCTGCTCCAGGCAGGCCCTGCTGGGATCCTGAGCAGGATTTTGAGGGGTTTGCTGCCCTTGTGATGTTGCAGAGCTCAGGACTCACTTTGTGTTGGGAATCCTTTCCCAAGCCTGGTGTTTGGTTTTTCCTGGAGTGTTTTTGTTCCATCCCAGCGTGGAGTGTTTGTTCAACCAGTTGTGTTTCCCCCTTCCCTAAGGCAGTGTTGGGCTGGAGCTGGAGCTGAGGATCAGCCTCCTCTTCCTCACTCCCTGAGCTCCATTCAGCACCTTGGCAGGCAGGGGAAGGTCCTGGCAGAGAGGATGTGGGATCTGCCTCCAGAACTGGACCTGCTCCATGCCAAAGCTAAATTTAACCTTCATTTATTTTAAGCTTAAAATATTCCCTTTGACACTTTCTCTTTCCTGCCACGAAACTCTTTTATCTTGTTTAAAATCAAGACCTTGGCATCATTCTAGATTATTTTTTTTTCCCTTGCCAAAGCTCAGCTCTTGGCCTCCTGTGCATCTGCTGTGAGTGCAAACATCTCCTCCCAAGGGTTCTCCAGCAGGTTTGTCCCTTGGGGCTTCATCTCACTGTTCCTGAGGTGTTTGAGGCCCTTTCTCAATGACTGGGGAAGTTTCTGCAAGAGAAAAAACATTTCACTAAAATCTACAAAAACCTAACCCAAACTCCCCTGGAGGGAAAAGGCCTCATCTTAAAATAATTCTTTTTTTTTTTCCTGTGAAGACTAGAATTCCAATTGGAAAATTGGAATTTNAATTCCTTATCAGGCTTCAGTGCTGAAACAGCTCCACTGATTGTCTGAACTGAGCCTGGCTTGGAGTGAAGCTTTCCTGCTTTTCCCTTTGTGTTCCCTTCTTCCCCATTTTCCTTTCCCTTTGTATTTTCCTCTTTCCCACTCGCTTTTCCCTTTCTATTCCCTTCTTTCCCATTTTCCTTTCCCTTTTCTGTTCCCTTCTTTCCCACTTGCCTTTCCCCTTCTATTCCCTTCATTCCTACTTGTTTTTCTTTTTGTATTCCCCTCTTTCCCACTTGTCTGTCTTTTTGTATTCCTTTCTTTCCCACTTGCCTTTCCCTTTGTATTCCCATCTTTCCCACTTGTCTCCCTTTGTATTTTTTTTCTTTCCCACTTGCATTTCCCTTTTCTGTTCCCTTCTTCCCCATTTGCCTTTCCCTTTGTGTTCCCTTCTTCCCCATTTTCCTTTCCCTTTTCTGTTCCCTTCTTTCCCACTTGCCTTTCCCTTTGTATTTTCCTCTTTCCCACTTGTCTTTCCCTTTTCTGTTCCCTTCTTTCCCACTTGTTTTTCTTTTTCTATTCCCTTCTTTCCCACTTACCTTTCCCTTTCTATTCCCTTCTTTCCCATTTTCCTTTCCCTTTGTATTTTCCTCTTTCCCATTTTCCTTTCCCTTTGTATTTTCCTCTTTCCCACTTGTCTTTCCCACTTGTTTGTCTTTTTGTATTCCTTTCTTTCCCACTTGCCTTTCCCTTTCTATTCCCTTCTTTCCCATTTACCTTTCCCTTTGTATTTTCCTCTTTCCCACTTGCTTTTCCCTTTCTATTCCCTTCTTCCCCATTTTCCTTTCCCTTTGTGTTCCCTTCTTCCCTATTTTCCTTTCCCTTTTCTGTTCCCATCTTTACCACTTGCCTTTCCCTTTGTATTTTCCTCTTTCCCATTTGTCTTTCTTTTTGTCTTCCCTTCTTTCCCACTTGCCCTTCCCTTTGTATTCCCCTTTTTCCCACTTGTCTTTCCCATCTTTCCCACTTTCCTTTCCCTTTCTATTCTCTTCTTCCCCATTTTCCTTTCCCTTTTCTATTCCCTTCTTTCCCTTTGTGTTCCCTTC